TGGTTCCATCACCTGCCTTGCAAGCACAAGGACTGGAGTTCAATCCCTAGTACAAAAAAAAAAAAATCATCTGATTTCACCAAATTTGAGAAATCTTTTTATTCTTTTTTTGGTGGTACGGGGATCAAACTTGGGAACTTGCACTTATGAGACAGGCGTGGAGCCACTGAGCTACATCCCCAGCCCAAATCTAGAATCTTAACAGCACAGAAGCCTTTGATTTAAAAGCTAGCAAATCTAAGACACAGCACCACCATCCTCAGCCTTAGTGGAAAGAACCTTACTGTCACTGTGAGGGAAACAGCAGCACAAGACCCCTGGCGCGGGTTAGAAATGGCAGGGTCTCCTGTGCCACTGGGCAGGAGTAGGAGACACAGCATTGCTGTCATCCAGCCCAGCCAGCTGAGCCCAGCGCTTCTCCTTAGACTCCACAGGAAGACCCGTGCACAGGCACACTGGTGAAGAACTGGAATTCTGGCACTCTCGGAGGCCAAGGCAGGAGGATCACAAGTTCAAGCCCAGCCTGGGGGGCAATTAAGTAACTTAGAGACCCTGCCTCAAAATAAAAAATAAAAAGCCGGGCATGGTGGTGCACGCCTGTAATCCCAGCACTCGGGAGGCTGAGGCAGGAGGATCGCTGTGAGTTGAGACCAGTCTGGGCTACACGGTGAGATCCAGGTCAATCTCAACTACATAGTGAGACCCTGTCTCAAAAAAAACTATAAATAAATAAAAAGGGCTGAGTATGTATGTAACTCAGAGTGAAAGCCCTGGGCTCTACCCAGTACCAAAAAACAAAATCAAATAAATGGCCAACCAAGGAGCCCCACGGAATCAGCAGGAGCACCAGCCACACCCACCTGAGGGCCCAAGTTGGTGACTGTGGGAAGACAAAAGAGTCCACAGAGCACAATGTGCGACAGAAGACAAGAGCCTGCCCACAGAGGGGCCTGGATGCCCGACTGGCACAGCAGCTCAGGGCACCTGGGTGTCAGGTCAGGCTGGAGGCTCCCCAGGGCCTGGGCAGCTGTGGGGTCTGCAGTGTGTGGCTGTGCTGGATACCACTGACTGCACACTTCAGTCGTTACTTTTTTGTTTCGTTTTGAGACAGGGTCTCACTGTGTAGCTTAGGATGGCCTTAGACTCACAGTGATCCTCCTGCTTCAGCCTCCCGGGTGCTGGGATCACAGATGTGCACCACCACAACAGGCCTATGATGGTTAACTTTTAAAAATACATTCACCAGGCATGGAAAACCAGTCATCCCAGCTGAGGATGGAGGATCACAACTTCAAGCCCAGCCTGCACAACTTAGCAATCTATGGAGACTGTGTCTCAGAAAAAGGAGGAAGGCTGGATACAGTGGTGCATGTCTGTGATCCCAGCACTTGGGAGGCTGAGCGAGAGTACTGTGCAAGTTCAAGGCCAGGCCTGGATACAGGGAGTTGAAGGCCAGCCCAGACTACACAGTGAGACCTTGTCACTAAAAACAAAAATACAAAACACAAATTCTGCTCAGAGGCAAGGACTGGAGAAATCCTGCAGGAAACCCACGGCCACTGTCATACAGAGGCGCTGGCAAGGGGCTGCCCAAGGCAACTCTGACGGGAGGTGGCCGGCAGTCACACAATGGTGTGCCTGGAGAGGTCTCACTGTCCCTGACGCACTCCTCCCAATTCTCTCCTGCTTCTGGGCTGCATGCAGTGAGCAGCCTTCCTCCCCTCACCCTCCCACCTGGCCATCTCTGGCTTGGAGCCAGCTGACCGTGGACTGAAACTTCTGAAACTGTGAGTCAAAATAAACCTTCTTTCAAGTGACTTACTAGATAGTGGTCACACTGACAAAAAGCTGATCAACACTCTCAGAAGAATCATTTGACAATGCCTTTTTCAAACAGGGATCAGCTGAGTACAGAGGGAGACACCTATAATGCCAGCTTCAAGAGGCTGAGGCAGGAGGAGCCCAAGTTTAAGGCCAATCTGGAAAACTTAGCAAGGCCCTGTCTCAAAAAGAAAAAATACAAAATAAAAAGAGCTGTGGTTGGAGCTGTGTCCCCTGGGTTCAATCTCCAGTACTGAAAAAAGTCTTCATAAAATGACAGAATAATCCTACTGGTTTCTGTAAGAGAAAAAAAAACCAATGCAGATCCAGCACATGAGGTGCACAGCACTTTTGGTGTGCACAGGCCCCGGGTCCCACTCCCAGCACCAAAAAAGCATTTAAACCACACACAGAAACGTGCTGCAGCCACATTAGACAGATACGCGGGCTATCAATAGCCCATAGCTGTTTTTTTTCTTTTTGGTACTAGGGATCGAACTCAGGACCTTTTTGCTTGCGAGGTTAAGAAGGGATGTCACTGAGCTAAACCCCCGGCCAAGTCCATAGCTGTTTTAACACAACGTTTGCCTGTTAAAACGGTCACCTCAAAGCCACTGCCCACACCGTTCCATGACAACAGACCCCAAACTCGCTGGGGGCAGCTGTGTCCGGTCAGATGTGCTGTCCCATGGCTGCAACACAGGGAGGGCTCTGGTGACATGAGGGCAGGTCTGGTGGCAGCCCGTGTCCCGAGGTGAGCAGTGTGCAGAGGCACAGACAGACCACACTCAGACATGGTGGGCAACAGTGCCACTGGAGCACACAGGCGGAGTCGCCTCCATGTGGGCAAGTACGGGACCCTCTCTGCTTTGAGGGCAGGCTCGGGCCGCCTTGGGGAGAGGCGTAATCTGCCCCGGGACACAGGACCATCCTGCCGGCCAGTGGGGTGCCCTGCTCATGGCTAGAGACCTTACATCAGTTACACCCGGGCCACCCACTTCTGGGGACAGAGCTGTGACACTTGTGTAGGTTTTTACATGCTCACTGTGGCTCGAGTGTTGTTGCAGAAGGCTGTCACTGCCCCAGTGTGGCCATCCCTGTGCAATCCAAAAGGAACACACAACAGTGGTAGGCAGGTGGCTGTCATTAGCCCCGCACTGCCTTGGTGCCTAGCCTTTATGTGGTGCTGTGACCTTCAGCGGCTCCCACTGGGGTTTGGTGGTGGCTGTTTTGAGGCCAAGTCTTGCTATGAACTAATGTAGCCCAGGCTGGCCTCAAAACTGCAGTGATCCTCCAGCTTCAGCCTCCCAAGAGCTGGGATTACAAGTGTCTGCCACACCTGGCTTTCCTGCAAAACACTCCAAACAGCCCAGCTTGAGAACTCACCCACTTCTAGCCACCCCCAGGGTTTTCCCTGAATTCCACCATGTGCTGTCACATGAGGACTTCAAGAGGTGGGCAATGCCACAGGCCAGCTGAGTGTGGACCCCAGCTCTATGGAGGCCACCCTACATGGTGTCTGGTTCCAGGACATCTAAGAGCATTAACAGTGGACAGGAGCAGTAAGCAGAACACAAGGACACTGTCAAGCAGGACACCCCCAGGACAAGGGTGAGGGACGACCCCTCACAGTGGGGGAGGCGCAGAAGCAGGCAGCCTTGAGGCCTCTGAGAAGAGGACTTTTAGCTCACAGAAGGCGGGCCAGGGTCAGGTGCCCAGTTACCACCTGGCCGGGCCCTGCCCCGATCCCCATCGCCTACCCTAGGATGTCCTCACCCCCCAGACCACACACTGGCTAATGTCAGGCCGGGGTGACTACTTATCTTCCTTCCCAGACATTCCCCAGCCTCACAGCTCAAATACATCCTGTTTGTGGAAAAATTAGCTGGCACCAAGTGAAATTGAAAACTTTTCCCACTTACTAACCTAGCGCTCACGCTTCACCTGCACAAAGCACATTACAGTTTTCCTAGTGACCTCACTCCATCCAAGGCTGGTGCATGGTGACTGGCTTCACTATGAAACTCCCACTTCAAAATTTCCCTCCAGGCTCATGGGGGGGCGAGTCACAACCTGCACAGGACACCCCAACATCAGGGAGATCTAACTTCAGATGAAGATCTATGCTCCCTGATCCTATAGCAAATGCAGTCTACTCAGAAAACCCAGGCAAAGCCAACGAATGTTATGCTCCCAGTTCACAGCTCAAGTCCTCTCCTGTTTCATGTTAGCACTTTGCTTCCACACATGCCGTTACAGGTTAGGATTCACAGCGTCCACAGGCCCCACACACGTTAAATGGTCTGAAAGGACCCATGCTGATCACCTCATACCAGATGCTAACACCAGCTTACCAAGAACTAGGTTCCAGCTTGTTCAAGCTCCCCCTCCCCATCTGTACCTTGCCACCTTCTCCCCAGGTGGGAAGCGATCTCATAGTTGGTCCTGCGCCTGAGGGCAGCTGTGGCAAAATGGGCAGTGCAGTGCCCATGAGGAAGACAGCTGAGAGCACACCAAGCACCACAGCACAGTCTAGGAGCTCGAGCCCCTTGCAAAGCAGACTATCTTAGGAGCCTCACATCAGAGCAGCCTCTACGACCCAGCACAATCCTAGTCACCCCAACAGCCTGTGGGACACAGGTCAAAGCCTGGGCCTTCATCTCCAAGTCATCCCTGGAGCTTGGAGAGTGCATGACAGCAGCAAACCCAAAGAAACACCTCCGTGACACCACCCGACATCCAACACTGAAAATGCCAGGTGACATGAGGTTCACTTCTCCCTACAAAGTAACCCCAACTGCCTGCTCTACAGTTTCACCCACTTTCTGCAGGCCTACATTAAGACCGGGTCATCTCTGCATAAAATACAAGTGCAACCCATCTCTTCACAGGAACAGGCTCCAGAGTTCCCTGACACTGGCCAGCCAAAGCACAGGTGGGGCAGACTTTACTGTCCCAGTTCAAGGATATCAACCACGGGTACACCTCCTGGCTCCTCCGCTAAAATGGTCACCACATCAGCCTGCACCATGACACAAATGTACGCAAAAACATAAGCAGACAGGGGAGACTCTGAACTGAGAAGACTAAGAGCAAAGGCAATTCGGCACCAAAGCTAACACAAGCTTCCGTTCATGGTTCCAAATACTTACAGACAGGGTTGAGTTCACTGGCTTAGATATTTGAAATACAACTTTATTCTGATTCTAAACGAAAAGGAATGGGAATGACAGTAACAAGATTTCACCACCAAATATTGTGATGTGACTGTAGCAGTCTTATATTTGAAACTCAAGAAGGAAAACAACTGCGTTCCAAACAGCTAAATATGCAGGTCCAAAAAAATGAAGATTTAACTGCCACATTCACTCCGAAACCCATTCGTCTCCTTCAGCATCCCAAAGATGAAGCACACGTCTGCTTAGCTAGGTAACAAAGTGGCACACACGCGGCACCGCTGACATCACAGGACAGTGGCCTATAAAACTAGACTTCTGACGCGGGCCGCTTCATTCCTCACAGGTCGTCGTCCTCATCCGGGAGAGCAGTGGTCTGAGCAACCTGGGGAAGAGACAGCCATCAGCACACGAGGGAGGTCACCACCAGGATTGAGACCAGGCCCAGCACAGCGCGAGAGGGTAGCAGTACCTCTAAATCGTGCTCATACTGCGCTGCCAGGGCTGGGTCCATGACGACCTCTGGAGGGGCAAGAGCGGGCATGGCAACGAACTCCAAGTTCGGGTCTCCGATGAGCTTCCTGGCAAGCCAGAGGAAAGGCTTCTCAAAGTTGTAGTTACTTTTGGCAGAAATATCGTAGTACTGTGTAAAACAAAAGCACCAATAATCGTAAAAACCTTCACTACTAAAATGATGATTATTGATTCTGAGAGTGGCTAAGCCAAAAGACCCACCCCAGTCCCGCAGGAAGTTCCAAGTCGAGCGTACCTGAAGATTCTTCTTTCGGTGAAAGACAATCGATTTTGCCTTCACCTTCCTGTCCTTAATGTCCACTTTGTTGCCACACAACACGATGGGGATGTTCTCGCACACTCGCACCAGATCTCTATGCCAGTTAGGCACGTTCTTGTAGGTAACTCTGGACGTCACGTCAAACATGATAATAGCACACTGAGCTGAAACAGACAGTCACGACATTACTCCATCCAAGTGGCCAAGACCCACAGGGCAAGGAAAAGAAGCCTCATCTCAGCAGAGCTCCTTCACCTCCATCTGTCCACTCAGGTCAGAGCCCTTGCCACCTTCAGAACGTTACGTGTATTTATCGTCACATCCAGTGAGTGTGGACAGTTCTTAAGAAATCCTAGAAACCCCCTGAAATGTCTTCTCCACCCCAATACTTCATGAAATTAAACCACACAATTCAGCACTGCAGACAACATGCTTCCCTCATTCACAGCAGGACCTAGAAACCTATAGAGTGCACAGAGCAAACACTCTGGAAAGGGCTCTGGAGGGCTAACGGTACTAGAGAACAGTGCGCCTTTACAACTCAGACTACCTCCAAAGGCCGATCTGCAGAGACAAGCCTCACGTGACTGGCAATGCAACCAACCAGGGAAAATACACACATCACGTAAATGACAGGCACACATAGGGATGCTCAGGAAGGAGAATCGTGAGTGTGAGCCACCCCAGGCAACATCTGAGACAAAATTAAAACGCAAAAGAAAAGCAGGAGATGTAGTTCAGGGCAATGGTCCCCAAATGGGGATGGATTATACACGCCACAAATTTTCATCAGGAAAACGAGCCTCCAGAAGAGCAGGGTCCTGTTTTTCACCTTTTAACATAATAACGGAAACTTACTGCCTTCTCCACTCTCAAGTTGAAAATACAGCCAACTCAGGACGAGGAAAGCCATCCACGGGTCCTGCACCTCGTGAGGCAGAGAGCCCACCCCTCCGCTCCCAGCTTCTCCATCCCGGGACACTCCCGAGAGCAAGGATGACACAGCACGGAAGCGCCGGCCGCCCAACCGCCACACGTGCTCACCCTGGATGTAGTAGCCGTCGCGCAGCCCGCCGAACTTCTCCTGGCCGGCTGTGTCCCACACGTTGAACTTGATGGGGCCCCGGTTGGTGTGGAACACGAGCGGGTGCACCTCCACGCCCAACGTGGCCACGTACTTCTTCTCGAACTCGCCGGTCAGGTGGCGCTTAACGAACGTGGTCTTGCCGGTGCCGCCGTCGCCCACCAGTACGAGCTGCGGGGGAGGCATCCTGAGCCCGGCCCACCCGGCCC